TCTCTGGCTTGAGCAGGGTGTTGGATTAGAAGACATCCAAGGTCCCTTTCAAGCAGAGGTGGCGTTCAGCAGGTTCTGACCAGTTCTGGAGAACTGGTAGTAGAAATTTTGAGTAGTTCGGAGAACCTCTGATTGGCCCCTGCCCCCATCTATTCTCTGCCTCCTGAGTCCCAACTGATTGGGAGGGAATGGGGATTTTGCAGTATCCTTCCCCTGCCACAACCACCACATCATGCCCACTAAGTCACTCCATGCTCACCAAGTCACGCCCACAGAACTGGTAGTAAAAAAAAAAAGAATCCTACCACTGCTTCCAATCCTATGATTGTATGTTATGTATACGTTTGTAATTTTTTTTTCCTGCCAATTTTCATTCTGTGTGATGACACAGACTTTGCTTTAGAAATTATTTCAAAGGAGGGGAAAGTGGACAAATTCTCAAAAGTGGAGTGAAATGCTTTGTATTTACTATGTTACAGGTCTCAGCAAGTGACATCTGAACTTAGAGATGTTGACACAGATAAGAATTTGAATAATAAACCACAACACATAGCATTCCAGTGCTGACATTAGGCAGTGAACTTGAACAACAACAGAAAAAAAAATCCAAGAGAAAATAATAAGCACAATAATGAAAATTTATTCTACAGTATATTATTGCCAAGAAAGATGCATAAGTTTAAATCTGAGCTCAAATTGAGGACCCTTTAAGGTAAGGAAACAAATATGTTTTGCTCACACTGGAATGATTTTTATCAACAGTTGGCCTGGAAACGAATCTTGGGTGTGTCTAAGAAGAAAAAAAAAACATTGCACAGTTTCCTTCAGGCCATGATATGATGAGATGCTTAAATATTAAGAATGTTATATACTGTAACTACATTATGCCATCAGTTGTGCCATAGTCAGTCTGACTGTTTTTAGGGAGAGATTTGATATGCAGGAGTCATTAACCAAATATAAATTTGTGCTTTATTAACACTTTCCTCATTGGTTTTTTTCCCCTAGTATAATAATTTCACAATTGCTAGTTCTCGCTCATGATTCTATAAAGGCTTTTTATAACATCACTTTTTATTAGAGGAAGTTTAAGACTGTTCATTTCTCAATCAAACCTGATATGGAGTTTAATTCATAGGAGAGCTTTTTCCTGCCCAAATGCTACAATTATGTGCTGAAACCAGAAGCAACAAAAGGAAATACAGGTAGTCCTTGACTTATGACCACAACTGCGCCCCAAATTTTTGTTGCTAAGTGAGACATTTGTTAAGTGATTTTTGTACCATTTTACAATTTTTCTTGCCACTGTTATTAAGTGAATCACTGCAGTTGCTAAGTTAATAACATGATTGTAAAGTGAATCTGGCTTCTTGACTTTGCTTGTCAGAAGGTTGCAAAAGATGATCACATGACCCCAGGACATTGCAACCCACCATGAGTCAGTTACTAAGCATCTGGATTTTGATTATGTGACCATGGAGATGCTGCAATGGTCGTAAATGTGAAAACGGTCATAAGTCACTTTTTTGAGTGATGTTGTGACTTCGGACAGTCATTAAATGAACTAATGTAAGTTGAGGCTTACCCATGGTACACTGTTTAGTGTTAGTCCTATTTTTGGAAATCTCTCCAAAGAATTTCATTTGTTCTTTCTCGCAGGTCTTTTTGGCATGTGTGTTAGGTATGTTACAATGTAATTCTGCAATCTGTTACTAAGTGTGTCTCACAAAAACCAATAAAATTTACTCAGATATACTTATTTAGGAGCTAGTTCCATTGGACTCAGTTGAATTTTACTTTTAAATCAGAATGCATTGCAAAAACTTCCATCTTAGCACTTAGCCTAATATACCGCTTCATATTGCTTTTACTCTCTAAGCAGTCTACAGAATCAGTTCTACTCTCTTTTGCCCTTTTAAAGGCATATTAAAATCTCGATATACATAGGTTTAAATGAATTAAGTCATGCTTCATTTTGTGCTGATTGAACATCTTAATGTGTACCTTTCCGCTGAAGTTTCATTTTTTACACTAGCATAGCTATAATCTATAGTTATTGATAAGTATTTATTTACTGAAACCTCCTTCAGTACACCTCCCAACTCTGTTATTTTGTGCCTGAGAAATAGTTTCTTACTTCAGTTACAAAGCATATGTAGGCCTGCACAGAAGTTGCATAATACTGTTGGTAATGAGTGACAAAGTTGCTTCACTCCCACAGACTTTGGGGAAAAAAACTTAAAACCAAAATTCCTTTAGGTTCTTTAGAAACTGACCATTTTCTTGCTGCTCACTTCAGTGCCTTAAGCTGCCTTGGAAAATAAAAACTAAGAACATACAATCCTTTATGTGGCTATACTGAATAATTCATATATTTCAAAAGTATACATCACATGCTGGTTTCTGTGATTTGTTTGGTTTTAGCTAAGTATGTGATGTAAACTCAAACGCTATGGTTTGTAAAAACATGGCTTATGACTTAGTGTGCAAAGCCAGCCAATTATGGCTTATTCAATTAACCATTATTGCACATACTATCACTTAGCACAATGTGTGAACCCAGTCAGTATTCTGCCATGAGGCTTGCTATAGAAGACCCTATGCTGAAACTATTTCTTTAGCTATAATAAATAATAGGGTGTTGAGATTTATACTGAATCCTTGCTAGTCCTTAAATCTCCTCCTAATTGAGCCCAAAGCTTCTGGCTGAGCATATAATTTACACTGATTCGGTGCCAGAATGTTCAAGACAGCCTGGTGGGATAATAGCTAGACTGTTTGATTTGAACCCAGGAGAGCTGGGCTGTTGTATAAGATGGGATAACCTCAGTGGATATTTCCCTGGACTTCTTATCCAGACATTATTCCAGCAACACAATAAATATTCAAACACTAATGTTGCCATTGCTATAATAATGATCAGAAGATAAGAGCCTGCAAAATAATAATAATAATCTACCTTGGAATCCCAGCCTTAACTCTGTCATTCTCTTCTCCATTGGCACAGAGATCCAGCACCAGAAGCAAAAGTTGGAAAGAATTAGTTGAACACAAGTTTCTGCAAGGCAGCATAAAAGCCTGAATTTGCACAGAGCCCTTACTTTTTTCCTTGGGGAAACAGAGGGGGATGAAAGGGTTAGCCTCCACTGGGTGCTCATATTGCAAAACAGCAGGGCTTTGGGAGTCTATATACAACCAAGAGGTGGATGCAGCCCAGTTTTCCTGGCTTTCATTTGTTGACTTTCCCTCTCTCCCTTTGGCTGCTAAATTAAAAGAACCATCTGCAATCAGAAAATCCTTTTGACTGGTAGAGCAGATTGATTAATCACTTTTTAATGTTCTTTTTCTTCCCAGCTCCTTTGCCAAAGGATCTCCTAAATCATGTTTGTTTGTCTAACAAAGAGGTTTATTCTTGCATGCATTTTAATGTTCACGTTTTTTTTTTAATCTGTTGTTTTTAGATTGCCACAAAGATCTCCCACGAGCGACACCTCTAGAGCTGTAAGGCTGCGGTGTTGTTGTTTTCCTCTTTTCTTCACAGCGCTTTTTTAACTTATGGTACTGTTGACTTCTTTAATTTCTTGTCTTCCCCCAAGACACCTGCTCACCTTGTTCGCTGCATTTTCAGAGAGACCGAGCGAAAATTGCTGTTTTCTGCTTTTTGAGAGTGAAGGAGAGATTATTGCATTGTCCCCGCCTCCCTTCCCTGGCTCAGAAGTCTGGTGCACTTCAATCTGGAAAAAAAAAATCTCCTTACGGTACTTGTAGGCAGGTAGGATGGTAGGATATGACAAATTGTCAAGGCTATGCCCAATAACCTCCTCTATTAGAAACTTCAACCCTTCCATTAAATAATTGCAACTCTCGCCGGAGACTTTAATTAGAACGCGCAACAAGCAGAAAGGAAGCTTGGGGGGGGGGGGAATCCAGGCAAGACTCCCGCGGGTATCCTTAGAAGGCGGGCGATCCCACGCTCGCTCGCTTACTCGGGTGAAAGATGCAGTGGAACCCGGAGGCGCTCGCTTCCGAGTTTTCAACCCTCCGGGGAGCAGAAGCCAGCGCTCGAATAAACCGCAAGGCTGCAGGCAGAGGCGGCGAGATTCCTTCCGCACCCTCCCCCCCCCCTTTTTTTACTCCCTTGTTGGACTTCTTTTGGGCCGTATAAGAGCCACCTCTTCAAGAGCGGCCCAGCTGCGTGTACCTGGGCAGGTTGGGCGACGGGAGGTCACCCGCCCCTTTTACCTTTCGGCCCTTTCCCCCCACCTCCGACCGTCCGGGTGGGTTGGTCTTTGGGTTGGCATTGAGTTGGGGTTGCCTCTTCCTCCTCCTCCTCTCCCTTCTAGCAAAGGAGCAGTCCTCCCCCCCTTCCTCCCCAAATCCTCCCCCACCAAGTAGCCGACACCGATGGATGGTCGAGGGGGGCTCTTTCCTCTTAGCCCCCGGGGATCCCAACTGCTGGCGCAGACCGATTTTTAAACGGTCCCCTGCGCCCGTTCCCTCGGACACACACACACACACACACACACACACACACACGCATATCCACGTTTGATTTCGCTCGGCTCTGACGTCGCCGGGAGTGGGAGAGGGAGACAGAGAAGAGAAAGTGGGGGGAGGCGAGACTGCAGCAAATTGGGGAAGGCCTGGCACGATCGAAGACTGGCTGGGGAAGGGTTAACCCGCTGTGACTGTATGTTAATGAGCAGCACGGCGATCCAAGGAGGCCGGCTTTAGCCGTCAGGCTGCTGGCGCTACCGCCGCCGCCGCCGCCGCTGCTCCCACCGGTGGGGGGCTGATGAGCGCCGTGCCAGGTTAGAGCCGAGGAAGGAGTGCAGAGCGGCTGTGGCGCTGGCAGCAAGCGAGCCAGCGAGCGGCAGGCTGAGGGAAAGGGTGGGAGGGGAGGGAGAGGGGGAAACCAGCCCATCCACATCCCCGGAGGAAGCGGAGCTGGAAGGGAAGCCCGCGGGGACGGCAGCCAGCAAGGCAAGGCTTCTTCTGGGAACTGCCGATGCCAGGCGGGAGTCCGAAAGGCAGCTGACTGGGCAAAGCCTTCGCCAGCCCCAGCTAGAACGCCGGCAGCCGGCACCAGCACCAGCACCAGCGCACGGAGGAGCTCTTCTTGGCGGCATGACGGAGTGAAGGCTGGCAGGAGCAGCAGCAGCTGAACGACTTTAGGAATACCGATCGATGCCAGCGCTGGGGACTTGCGGTGGAGGATTTCAATGATTTGGGGATCTGGGTGGATTAGTGCTCCGTAATTCCGAGGCGGAGGAGGGAGAGGAGTGGGGAGGAGACGGGGTCCCTCCCCCCTCCCCCCCCAAAAGGAGCGCAACAAGAGAGTCCTTCTCCGAGCAGAGGTAAGTAGTCTCCGAAGCCCGGCCAGCCTTGGCATGTCGGAGCTTTTCTCCCAAGCCTGCTTCCCGCTTGTTCTGCCTGCCGCCGGAGGGATAGCGATGGGAAGAAGCTCGTCCCCCGATCTTCCTCCCCTCGACCTCTGGTTCTGGTTGTATTGTGTGGTGAGCGTAGCGCCAGCCTAGAGCTGGCTGTGCGAGTCTGTTCCGGATGAAGGTGGGTGGGTGGATGGATGGATGGATGGATGGATGGATGGATGGATGGATGGATGGATGGATGGATGGATGGGATTTAGTCCTCTCCGAGGGCAGTCGGGAGTCTACACCCAACCAGTGCTACGGCGGTTATTTCTGAGTACCGTTAGGACATGCGCCCCGCTTGGCTTTGGCGCTGTTCACCGGCGGCTTTCTAGCGCTGCAGGAGAAAGGGGTGGTTTTATTTTGCGCGCGCCCCGCAGCCAGCATCCCGACCCAGGTGGGGGCTCTTCGGGTTGGCTGCTTTGCTACCAGTCCGCCGCTGCTCCATCCTAAATCCAGAGGTGCTGCGCCTTCGCCAGAGCCCGCTTCCCATCTAAAGGTGGCGAGAACTGTAAAGAGGAAGCAAACAGGTACAAACAAGAAAGTTCCCAGAGAGAAGGAGCGCGCGAACGCGTGGCTAGTTTTCAATGGCTTTCACACATGCCAGCCTTTCTGTCCGTAGGAAATCGTCGGTTTCCTAACCCAGAAGCTTCTCTTGGGGCAGTAACTGAATTCGAACTGTCCAGGAGGTTGGCCCAAACACTGCTGCGTGTGTTTTCTCAGAATCCAAAATTATTGGCTTCCTAGTCAGTCTTGCCACGGAAACCGGTCTTATCTCGACAAGGTATCTGGGAGAGTTCTGGCCTCTTTGCCCAGTTTGTCTACTTCGCAGTGAAGGTTGCTACAAAACTTCAAGCCTGGGTGGTTACCTCAGAGACTAAAAAGTAAAATAAAGTCCCTTTCCACCTGAGCTTGATTTTTGGAGACTTACATCCAGGTACTTTGGTTAGCAAGATGAGGGTGTGAATGACCATTGTCTTTCTTCCCATTGCCTTATTTCCCAGTCTAGCATAGTTCGTCCATCCAAATGGTAATGACCTTGCTTAGCTTTCCAAATCTCATGAAAACCTGCACATTCATAGGAACAGAAGGATGGAGGGTTGTTGATCCCTTTGGTGGCATGGATCAATACATGGACATAAAGCATTCTAGGAAAGAAGACTGATTACACACCTATCTGCACACCCAAAGTAATCTTGTATTTGCTTCCATTTCCCTGGGATTTGTGTAACCTGTGACTTGATCAGTTCTGATTGTGATTGATGTGCCATCATTGACTGGGCTGCTTAATTGATATTGTCTTCCAGTGATAAGTCAATGACCTTCTTTTATTCTAGGATCAGGCAACTGAATAATGTATATTGGAATACAAATGTCATTTAAACCAGAACATAATTATCTTAAACAGTTAAGTTTTTTCCCCAATGGGCAGCTTATTTTTTTTGTTCTTTCTGTAAATATCTTGAGGGTCATTTGCTTAACTGAATTAATATCTCCCAGGTGAACCAGAAAGTAACATCTAGTTGAAGATAAAAGTGCAGTCAAAAGCTTTAAGGACTTAAAATCAGCATATGGGAAAAAGTTATCCATTTTGCTAATGCTCCCTGCCTATTTATTTGAGGTGTCTTTCCATCCTACTTCAATACATCTGTAAAGTTCAAACAAATGGCAGATGCTTTTTAGAACCTTGAGATTATTTCTTATTTCTTACCCCTCATCTCCACCAACTCTACTTCTCTTGAGTATATCTAATCACCTCTTCTCTTGAGTATATCTAATCACCTCTTCCGTTAATCCTGTCCTTCCAATTTTCGTAGAATATAAACAAGAAGCAGCATAAAGAAAGATATCCTACAGTTCCAATCACCCTTTGGCTGGTGAGCAAATGTCTCCACCTGCCTTTGGCTCTTTGCTTCTGTTCTAGTAAATCACCTTGTAATTCTGGATAAATTAGCTCCCAAAGCAGCTAAATGAAAATGTTATCTGTATTGGTTGCAAAGGAGACACTTGGACTGCTGAGCTTTCTGAACATGTCTCATGTAATCTGAAAGTTTTGGTGCTGAATGGAGTTTTCTGCTCCATTCAGAGTTTCAAGATTGCTTGAATGTTCTAAGAGATGTTACTAAGTGTTCTCCATTGCAATGTTTAGGAATTTGTGCAAATGCTGCTGAAAGAAGTTACTGCTTTAAAGCCAGTGAATGACACTTAAAGCAGTGATAAAAGTTATATTAGGATTTTTCAATCCTTCATTGCTATTACATCTGTATCCCAAGCATTGTGGGGAATGTGGGTGAATGATACTTTTCTGGAATTCTGTAGTGACTCCCTAGATATTCTATTTGTCTTTTTTCTTAATTTTTTTGCAATTCTTCAAAAAGATGATCTTCTCAAAAGAGTGGCAGAAAAAGGATCAGATTCTAGAAGAAACAATGGTTGTAACTTCTCCATCCTTACTTCCTTGTTTACTGATTCAGAGAAGGATATGGATCAATGTGTCTGTCCTAAAAGTTCACTGCCTCCACTTTTCTTGTTTAGTCTTCCCTTTTTCTTCTTCTCTCCATCTCAGCCTAAGAAATTGCACCAGTTGTAATGCTCCTGTTTCTCACCACCAAGCTTATTCCCTCTTTGGGGATTAAGCTGCTTCATGCCTGTTAGTGTTGTAAGAACAAAGTGCAAAGCAGTCTCCCCAAATTGAGACAGGGGTGCTTGAGACAGGCCAATTTTCTCTTTTGAAACATTACTGATTGTTCAACTAATCTTTATTTCATGGGCATTTTAGAAGAAACAGACAGAGAGAAAGCTGAAGGTCGTGATACACTGGAAGTACACAAAAAAGGTGCTAGCAGAAATATCTTTATTCTGCTGACATGAAATATGTATAGCTAACAGCTATTATAGCAATAGCACTTAGACTTATATACCGCTTCACAGTGCTTTGCAGCCCTCTCTAAGTGGTTTACAGAGTCAGCATATTGCTCCCACCAACTGGGTCCTCATTTTACCAACCTCGGAAGGATGGAAGGCTGAGTCAACTTTGACTCAGCTTATGAGGATCTCTCCTTTTTCCTTTTGCTTCGCTCACCATTGTCATTACTTTATTTACCCATTTAGTATAATTTTGCACTTCCTCAGTAAAATAATATTGAAACCATTTAAGAGTGGGCTGTTCTTTCTGATACTTTCCCTCTCTGCCAGCTGTCTCTGCATGTAGCCACACACAGCTGTTTACGTTCATAGCCAGGGGGTACAATGTACTTCTGTCCATCACTACAAATGGGAAAACCAGGAACTGTTAACGAAACTACTACACACATCATAGAGGCCAATGCATTGTGTTACCATCTGCTAACTAGAAATTATTCACAGTCATATGTTTAGCTAGACAGAAGAAAGGAAACTCACCATGTCTTCTTTTCAGATACCAGTATTTTCTGCCCAAAGATTGTGTTTTTATCCTCCAAGATTCTGTTATTAATCTATTCAATTTGATTTTTCTTCTCTTTCTTGCTCCTTCTTGTATTCTTCCCCCATCTACTTGTCTTTACTTTAAACTTGCTCCCCTCTTCTCCAATAACCCTACCATTCAAAAGGTAGTAAACAGAACAAACATTTCATGGCTAATTAAAATAAAGGTGGCTTTCTAAGTGTTAATCTCTTCACCCACATGGCACTTTCTTGTAAGGGGATATATCAGAAGCAGTAGATGGCCATCTTTCTCAAAACTATCCAAGTTATATTATTTAGCTTAATATATGTTTCAAAGCACAATTGTCCAATATAACTTAAATCAGTTGAGCAGATTAGTCATAACCCTGTTTTAGTAGCTTCACTGAATCTGCTGTAACTGAACTGGGTAACTCAGTTGCTCAGACTTCACTCCGCAAGGGATTATGGGGCCGTTAAAAGATGATGATGACTGAATCTGCTGTAATCACAGCTTTAGTTCAGATGTGATGCAGTGTCCATAAAAAGTAAGCAAACTGAATGTTTTCCCGTTATAAGAAAAGTGACTGCTCAAAAGATTCAACACAGGGAGTCAAAACAGCATATGGTCTTTGTCAGGTATGGACTGCTGAAGTATGAAAAATTCATACAAGCAGCTAAACATCTGTTCTGAAGTTAGATATTACTTTAATTACTTTCATTTTAGATATTACTTTCCACAAGCTTTCCACAGCCCGGTGCCCTTTAATTCTCCTTTACCTCCATTGTGAGTTCCTTTCATAATTTTTTTTCATCTGCCAATTCATTAATGCATGAATATCAGTTAGCAATGATATGTTTTTACTTTAAAAAACAACATCCAATCAAAAACCTTGTCTTTAAGATATTCAAGTTTTCCTCCCAAAAACTTGACATTTTTCATTCTCTTTGTAAAAGTTTTGAAATATGTCAGTGCCACTTTTCCCCACTAGAGGGGGACTCCTGCAGATTAAGGTTGTTACACAGTATTTTGCATGGAGCATGAGGGAAAGACTTCTCTGAAGAATCTGCTAAATTGGTCGGTCTTCCGTGTATCGTGAGGTTTTTGTACCTGTACACACACTTGTGGGTCAAAAATGTGTAAGACATTTGACTTATTGTTTTGTGTAAGGAATTTAAGTGAGGAATTTGACTTATTGTCTAGCTGTGAATGAAAATTGCATTACTGCAGGGGAAAACAATGGGGCGCATGACAAGTGGATATAATAAGGATATTTTTTCCTCTGATCTCATTTTTAATTAGACATTTTTTTATCCCACCTTTGTTCCTTTATAATTAACATATCTAATGCCCCTTCCTCTTCCTATTTTGTCCACAATAACAAACCTGTGTCAGGGCTGCCTTAACAGCATAATGGGCCCCCGGGCAAAGCAGGCCCCTATGACAACTCCTCACAGGAATAAAAATGTAAATAAAGTTAAGCACATATTTGCATGTTAATATT